TTCTGGGCACAATGATCACACCCAAATTTCATTGTTCGGATTAGTTTTATGTAGTAGGAAAAGTAAAAAAATCTTGTTCTAGATAGTTACTTTTGCTGAAGTAGAGAGTTCACATGTCAATTTTGCAGGGGATAGAAACTTGAATGGAAGGAGGAGTAATAGCCTGTTCACATTGTCACGTTGATGCAGATATTCTAGGATGAAGGCGTGTGAGATCTGTGTTTCTAAATAAATGGAACATGATTGAGTAAATAAAAGGAGAGAAACACTGGATCGCACTTACGAAGAATATTGTTAACGAAGAAAGAACTGTGCACTTGCATCACAACTTCAAGCCCCAGAGGTTAAAGCATATCCAAGGATGGGAGCATAGTATACGAAAGAAATGTAAAAACATAAACTTTTTATACAAACGGAGTAGGATCTAAATTGAGTAATATCTTACTCAAAAATGACTTTTTTAGTTTATATATGTCTTTGGTAGAAAAATTCCTGTATTAAACTTCCTCAAGCTATAATTTCATAAAGGTGTGCGGAAGCAGCTTCTAAGAAACCGATGACAAATAATAATAAACGCCTTTGTGGAGGAAACGTTATTTGTAACTGCATTAATTTTTGAAGTTTACATTTCAAATTGCTGGTAGGCTTAATCATGAGATAATTACTTATCAAAATTTGCTTAATCTTGTGTAGGCATTTATTGAAGCTGAGAACATGAGGCTGGAACATGAACCTTATCAGTTCTCATCAAAAGAAATAATAATCAGAATCGAATACAAATACTGTCCAAATCTTACCATTATTGACACTCCAGGACTTATTGCGCCTGCGCCTGCTCGAAAAAATCGTTCTTTACAGGTTAAAGGACGAAAATAAAATTATATATCTATCACTTCTGAAGCAATTATGTGTTAAATGTTGTGAACCTATCAATGGCAGGCTCAAGCTCGTGCCGTGGAATCTATGGTGCGAGCCAAAATGCAGCACAAAGAATTCATTATATTATGTCTTGAAGATTGCAACGATTGGAGTAATGCTACAATGCAGAGGATTGTGATGCAAGTACGTTACAGTTTTGTCCTATATCTATTAATTTTATGAGGTCTTTTTGGGAAATTATGATGGTCAAAAGAAATAATTGAGTACCTTAGAAGTTCTGACACTAAGCACAATTTTTTTTTACATTCTCATATAGATTGATCCTGAACTTTCAAGGACTGTAATTGTCTCAACAAAGCTTGACACAAAAATACCTCAGTTCGCACGAGCTTCAGATGTGGATGTTTTTCTTTCACCACCTGCATGCACTCTTGATGGTTTCATGTTAGGCGATTCACCCTTTTTCACATCTGTTCCTTCTGGGAGAGTTGGGTCTGGTCATGAATCTGTTTACAGATCGATTGATGAGTTTAAACAGGTTAGATCTCAATATCTGCCTAAATGCATTATTGTCTGAGTTAGTTGTATTAGAGGTCATTGATGCTGATAAGGGCACCTAATGGATGCCCTTATGTGTGTTTGAACAACTAATTTAACTAGCAAACATATGTTGGTTCTCCTTTTTGTCTTCTAGTTTTAAGAATGCCCCACCTTATACAATGAAACCCAGAGCATTTTTTTTTCAATATTCCATGCAAACTATCTCTGGGAAATAAAAGCAGTATTTCTAATATAATTAGGCTGTGGGGTGCTAATATCATATGATGTTCCACTTTTGCATGCCATGCAATATAAAATCGAGCATACAAAAACTGTATAATGGCATTTGTTCATCGTGCTGAATTAGGATTTTTTATCTTGACACTGTAAACAGTGTTATGTTCCACAATAAATGATTCTCCATGTTTGGTGGCTTTTCTTGTATAACTTGTGCACCCATTGGCACATTTGTCATAGATTAGAATATTAGTTATCGTGTAAATACTAAAATCACTCACTCATTATCAAATAGACTCAATCTTTTCTGTCCATTACGATTCCACCTGAGCGTCTTCTACTTTTAATAGGCAATTAACTAGATCAGAAAAATCTGTTACTTGCTGAGAATACATTTTTCTCGTAAGGTCACTTGAAACAAGATTCTTTGGTTTAGGGCCCTTTTGTGTTTGTCACTCAAAGTATTGCTTTGGAAGAGTAAGGTAAAAAATAAAAAGATTTGGCTAACACTACCCATTGTTGCTTCATTTCCCCTTCATCAATGTAAAAGCAGCAGTGCCCTAAAATTGTCACAATATAAAACTTCAGTAAATATTGAATACACGATATCCTCAATTGAAAACTTCGGGTACTTTTATCAATGTTTAAGCAATCGTTACTGGTCTTACCGGAATACACCAGCTTATATTGGGTGGTACTGAAAGTCTCGGACACCAATGAATGGTACCAGACAGAAACTTTTTAGTTTCTATAACATTTCTTATGTATAGTTAACCCATTGTACATATAGTAACATCATTGTAATTATTTTTTCTTAAGATATAATATTCTCAAATACTAATAATATTTTCATCAGTGTACTTTGGTGCTTATTTCATCCATATATGTCATTGTTATATGAATTTGCTAGTATGTCTTTAAAATATTTTAATTGATATATTATCCATCTAAAAATAAATCTGATTTGGTATCTGAGGAGACATCGATAATGATATACCAAGAGGTTATTTGAGATGTTTTTACTTGTGCTATTTATATATTGGCTTTTCAGTTTTCATTAATGCTCAGCAAAATTTGTCTACTTGTATGATAGTCCATGTTTGGTTGAATAATTACTTTTTGCGTTTGTTTTGGGACAACTATCATGTTGGATAAAGACGCATGGTTCTAGTATAGGATTGGGCATATTTGGCCCAATGCTGTGGCGTGGCACAGAGGCAGGATTCGCTATGTTGTAGCTTTTAATTTCTGTATATTTTTCTATTTCATGCTGTGTCCCAGAATGCAACTTCCTGTACATTGACAGGCTATTTATTTGAGAGAGATGGAAGATATCACAGCTTTAGAGGAGAAGTTGGGAAGATCACTTTCCAAACAGGAACGGAGCAGAATAGGAGTTAGCAGCCTTAGGTTGCTGCAAAAGAGGTACATATATTACATGTTACTCGGTCGTGTATCTTGTGCAATGACTAATTAAAGCTGACATGAAATTTATGATATAAA